AGCAGTGCTTGAAAACTCGTCGAGTCACCCGGTTCGACTCGGGAATCGTAGCCGGTTCCACGAAAAATCGGGAATCGCCCATGTCTAGAGAGAACCGGAAGATTCCCAATAGTGAATCGCGAGTCTCACCAAAAAAATTTATTTTTTGGGTTTACACGTGGCCATAAATTTGTAATTTTTGGGCTTACACGTGGCCGTCTCAAAGGAGTGACACGTGGCACATGTAGCCGCTTCACGGGAAATTTGTATTTTTTGGGCTTACACATGGCCGTCTCAAAGGAGTGACACGTGGCACACGTAGCCGCTTCACGGGAGCAACACGTGGCAACTCACCTCACGTCTACCCCCTCACTTTCCTACACACGCAATGCGCAATGGAGTGTCTATTACACTTTAAAGAAAACGATAGTACAACATTTTTTTATTTTTCTTGTAAAAAAAATACAATTTGTTGTCAAAAAAATAAACAAAGGCAGAAAATACTGTTGTAAAAAAAATAAAAATAAAAAAATAAAATAAAAAGCTTTTCAAGATAAAGATAACAAAGATAATACAATTTTTTTTTTTTATTGTAAAAAAAATACAAGGTAAGATAACAAGTATTTCTTGAAAAAAAATAAAACAAAAGGCATAAAAAAATAAAATGTACTTTGGCAACATCATTTTTTTATTTTTCTTGTAAAAAAAAAAAAAAAGTAATACAACAAGCAAAAAAAAATGTAGTACAACATCTTCTTCTTTTGTCAAAAAAAAAGAAAAACAGATAATCAACAAGTATCATATTTTTCATAAAAAAAAAAAAGAAGATAACATGGTCTTTAACATAAATTTAGTAATATTAATTTAAAGATAGGATTCATACAATTAGGCCATTTGAAATCTCTCTATTTCTACTAACAGTCTCTTCCACTAATTTATTCTAGAAACCTAAAAAATTAAAGAAAATTGGTACGAATTATAATAATTTATACATTGATAACCAAATCTTTTATTTTATTTATTAATTTTTGTATTATAAATCATGTAGTATACTATTTTTCTTACAATTGTCAATAATACATTTTAAATTAGATGATATTATAAAATATTTTGGATTTGTTATTATTTATATCATAAAATAATTATAAAATATTGTTGGTATATAATATTATAGTTAGTTATGTTGTAATAATTTGGATTTTTTTAGCGGACTAGGGTTTTCCACCAATTCGATATTTTAGTGGCCAATTTTTCATCGATTTAGTCAACTCTTTATTGTAGTTCATATATGATTATATACTTAATCCACGATAATTCTATGATTTTTTTGTGCAAATTTAATGGTCAGCAGAAGTTCATACAGGGAAAGAACATATCAATATTCATAAATTGATGAAAACAATGAAAGTTAATAATGTAGTACCCTCGTTTCTTATTGGATTCCTAAAAAACAACATTTATAATGAATTTTCATATTTTTTTTGAATTTTTTTAAGGCTTAATCCGAGCAATTATGCCCGATTCCCAATCGGGATCGTCGATTCACCGATCAGGATCGATTTTTGGGATGCCAGATCCGGGTCATCGATCCGTTTTTTAAACTACTGGGTAAAAGTAAGTTACCTGCCCCGGACTGCCCTCGCGAAGAAGAGCCCTTGACTGCCCTAACCACAGAGCAGAGACATCTCTTTGCTCCTGTGAGTCTCCTTACAAAGGTTTTTCTCTCTCTCTCTCCTGATTTGTTATTTCCCTATCCCATGGTTTTTTCTCTTCGAACATGGTAAAAATGGATATACGCTTTTCTCTGAATACTGTTTTGTGGTAAATTGTTGTCTGTAGGAAAAAATAATTTGACAGTTTTTTTTTTTATAACCAATTCTCTGTAGAAACCTTGCCCCTCATCACTCCCTTCAATCCTTCCTCTATCCACTCCAGTTAAATTTCACGGTTCTCTAATTTTCTAATTCTTCTTTTCATCTGGTTTCTTCTACTATACAGGTGACAATTATAACCATTGGGTGTCCCATTTTTCTTTTTCTTATTCTTTTTTTGTTATTGCTATCATCTGAAAATGAGATAATCAATGAGATTTGATTCATGGTTAGCTTATTTTTTTTTTCATTGATAGTTCTTTTGTTGGTCGTGAAGAAAAGAAAAAAAAAAAATTCAGTATTGCTTTCTTTTTTGCCATAGGTTTAGATTAAGCTTAATTTTATTTTTCAATATCAAGCATAGGGTTTTATCTGACAATTTAACATGTAGTTATCGAACTAGCGAACAAAAATAAAAACAACTTGTTATAGATTGACTGGAATTTTTTGCAAATAACAACATTTCTAAAGGAAATCAGCAGGAAATTTATTGAGTTTGTTGTGGAATTTTTGTTCAATAAATGGTTGAATAATCCAATATTCAATTTAATTAATCATGACTATTGGATGTGAATAGTTTTTCTAGGCAAAACAGAACAAATCATTGGCATGAAGTTTGAATGATAGAAAATTGATTATCTTTGATGATTGAGGTGAATTTTGGTTTTGATTGTGATTGGGGTAATTGCGAAATATTTAAAGATCTATTGTTTCTAAAGTTTGTATAACTCTTTTATATGAATGAACTCTTTTATATGACTGACCGATAACTTCTTTAACGTTCCAGCAGGTTATCAAACACAGAAACCCATGACTTTTTTAACATTCCAGTAGGTTATCAAACACAAAAACCAAAAACTTCTTACAGTAATTTCGTTCTTCTCATCAAAGAAGAACTTCCAATTTCCAGAGAACATTTACCTTCCAGTTATCAAACACACCCTTAAAGATAGGGTTAGCCACCCTAGACTTGTTTTATTGAGAAGTTATGTGTCCTACATACATTCTAGAGATCTGGTCCCTCTTTATTTTTGTGACACATGTCCACCCCTTAACTCCAGCTTAATAATGTAGTATAGATAGATAAAGTTCTTACAAAACAAAATCCTTCATTTAAATACTCCAAAAGAGTTGAAAATCTAACGCATAGCCATCGTTTTTATAAAGTCTTAAAAGTAAAATGGAAAAACACGATATCAAGTCATCGTCACATGTAATAAACCGTGGGAGAGTTGCCTTTGACTTCTTTCCCTACTTCAAAACAATCCAAAATATCCACATGGTGCTCTCTGTTTTATTCCATCTCTGCTATTTCTCTATCTGGTAGCTACATATTATTTTTTCCTGGCCTACCCTTGCACTCTCTCTCTCCAATGGGGTAGTTTTGTTCTCCATCAAACTATGTTCCTTGAGAATTGGGCGGGCTTGAGTGATTAGCAGCTGACGTTTAACAATGTTATATCTCAAGTTTGATTTCAACTGTTGAACTACCCAAAAAAAAAAAATGCTCCTTAAAGAGTATATATCATAGTTACTTCCTCAGGGCTATATGGTTACGTGTGAATATTTTTAAATCTACAATTTTTTAGATCCTCCTACATGTCTTGGATGTCCATTTTTATTGAAAAAGATGGATGCTGAATTTTGTAACACTTAAAATTTTACCATAAAAAAACTTGGTCAGTATCAGCTCAATCATATGATGTTATTTTTTTTAGCTACATACTGAAAAACTTATGTGATTTAATGAAGCGATCTAAATCCAAAGTACGAAGTTATTTTTTCCAGCTACATACTGAAAAACTTATATGATTTAATGAAGCTATCTAAATCCAAAGTACTAAAAAACTCTATCAGGTGCCCCCCTTAGAAAGATGGTATAAGCATAATTTTGATGGAAGTGTGAGGGGTGAAGACAGTAAGCCGCGACTTGCCGAATGCTTTTGTGATTCCTTAGTTATCTCTTCACCTTTTTCTCTTCTTTCTTCCTCCCCTTTCCCCTCTCTTTGTTGTAGCCTTCTTTTCTTGATATTTTCTTTTTTGCTCTTTGCCTTTCTTTTCATTTACACTGTACTCATTTTGTATTTCTTTTCATGTTCTCAATAAAAGGTTAACTTAACATTAAAATAAAATAAAATATGACGTTATTTTCTTGAGCTACTACAATGTCCATTTCAAAAAGAAAAAGGAGCAAAAATCCAAAAATGCTCCTCTTAGAAGTTCTAACCTACGATTAAATGTCCTTGGATGGAAGCTTCGAAATTAAATATGAGTTTTTTAAATAAAAAAAATTAATGAGATGAAATAGTGAGAAAAGATATGGTGACTTATAGTTTGAGACTGATGACATGACCATTAATAGAGTCGAATGAAGAAATAAGATTCATGCAGCCAATCCCAAATAGTTGGGATAAGACTCCATGGTGAAAATAAAATTTATCTTATTACCATTAGGGATAAACTATTTAATATTCCATCTACATCTTTTGATTTAATTATGAAATGCCCAACAAAAGTCATGTGAACTACCTATATCTTTTGATTTAATTACAAAAAGGCTATCAAAAGTCTATGTAATATGGAATAGTTGCAAATGGGTAAAACGTTAAAAGGATTGTATACTTTGAGATCATTTTTTTTTAGTTACAAGGAAGTCACAATTGCTACTAATCATAAGACGTTAAATTGGATGGCTTAGAGTGAATCACAAATTTTTTTATTTTTTTTTAACTTTAAATTTAGTTAATGACACACTCACAACCACCCAATTGAAATTTGATGAACAAGAGTGATCGTGACTTACTTGTTTTAAAAAGTAAACAATCTCTTCAAAAAAAGTAAATAGTTCATCTCCTATCAGCATTTCAAAAAATTTCTAAAAATTAAATTTAGAGGAAAAAAGATTATCAAAATACATATTAAATGTTTAATATCTTTACCATATCTTATTCTCAAAAACAGAAAAAAAACTTAACCATATCCTTTACTTTAAATCAAAATTTTATGAAAATACATGTGACCATAACATTGAATAGTCGAATAAATAAATTGTGAGAAGTTAAATTATAAAAAATTTACATTTTGATAAGGTTGCAACATTATATAAACTTTTCCTTTTGATAATTCTTGATAAAAAATAACCCAGTGAACTCCTAATAATGGGCATCTCTTGGGTGAATCTCGAAAAATGTCAGCGTTTTTCTTCAGAGTGTCTGTGCCGTACATTAATGGCACAGCCTGGAGATTCAAAATATCGAATGCATACTCCTAAGCCCTGATTTATTATTCTTATAGATGGACAGGACGTGCAGCACACTCACCTTTCTCGCTCTTGTCGCATCGGTGAAGGAGTCTCAGACTCTGAGGTTTTCTCCATTGCACAGAGCACCTCTTCCTCTTCTCTCTGTCCGCATTGCCTTAGGCCCTTATACAACCAAAAGAGGTAACTTTTCTTCTTCATGTCGTCTCTCTATTGGAAACGCCTTTTTAGAGCAATTGCTATGCATTAAGCTCTTCAACTTTCTAGGGCCTAAACCTTCTTACAATCGCTGTTATATAATACCCGCATGCGTTTGTGTGTGTGTGAGTGTCTGCATTTTTTCTTTCTTTTTTCTTTTATTTTTATTTTTTTGTTTTAATGGTAAAACTGCACAAATCCAACCAAGTTTCAAGAGATTTCAATGAAAAGTGAAGTATAAATCAATACGATGGCGGATTGGGTGGCGTATGGGGAAAAAAATCTGTTTTTTCTCATAGAAACCGCCAACTTTTGGGCAAAAAATCTGAATTTTCAGCCACTTATGAAACATATTAGTATGGGGCATTGCAGAGGGTTGAATAACAATCAAACAAAACTATTCAATAGATTTGGGCCAAAAATGAGAGAGGAACCATTAAACCAATATGAAGGGGGATTGGTTAGGGTTTGAAAAATAAAAGCTGATTTTAAGAGAACCAGGGATTTCAGGCCAGTTTTATCTCTCAATTTCTAGCATTTTGATTCAACAAATGAGTATGGGGATCTTGTAGAGGGATGAATGAAGATCAAATAGAACTTAGTTTCCATGATTTTAAAGAAAAAGTGAGAGAAATCAATGTTGAGGCGGATTGGGTATTAAAAAAAAAAGGTTTCTTTCCACCAAAAAAATGAAAAAAAAGGTTAAATATCTGAACTTTGATGCAAATCGATAAATATTTGTTTTATTCCTAGCCTAGAATATTTGTTTTGAGGAATTTTCGATCAAAACATCCAAATTTGGATTAGTGACACACCTGCTGAGTGTGTACATTCTCCTTAGCTACTGGCTGAGACTGAGCAACTCGGCCGAGTCCATGTGGAATCGGCCACATCTTTGAACACTTCTTTTGACAAAATCCTTCATCTATGTGAATTTTGAGTACTCGTGGTGGCCTAGAGGTCTTCATGCAAGTTTCAAGGGAGAATTTGGGTTTAGAGTGCCATGGTTATTTGTCTTTTATTGGGAATCTTCATCAAAAGTGATGCCTTTTTTGCTAGAGAATTCCTTTTTGACATGGGGTTAACATCTTCAAACCTGATGATAATTCTTATTTGTCACTTGTTTGGCATTTCTGTACAGTGGCTCATGTATATGAAACTGATAAAAGTAAGATTATGACAATTGATACATGTGTATATGGGAGCTTCATTCATGGTCATGCAAATCAGGCAAGCTTAGAAGCCTCTAAACTGTTCAAAAAGCTGAAAATAATGATAAAACTCTGAGAATTAAAGTCTTGATAGATGTGTAAATTGGAGCTTCATTCATGGGTCGTGCAAATCAGGCAAGCTTAGAAGCCTATAAACTGTTCGAAAAGCTGGAAGCAATGATAAGATTTTGAGAATTCCTAGTATAAGGTCTTGTAGGCCAGTTTCTAATTGGAGATTGATCTTTCTCTTAGATTGTGGGAAGTGGGGCCAAATTGCATGTCCCTTTGCAATGTGTGCAAATTAGTAGATGCTGGTGTAGTACTCAAAACCCTGATAAGTAAGAAAAATGTGTCTGCTTATGCCTTTATATGACTCCTTCCTTTGAGTGCTTTGTGGTGCTAGTAGGATTTCTGAGGCCACGAAATTCTTTCAACCATGAGGAATAGGTGGTGGTTTTCAAATTTAGAAATCACACTTTTTTTTTTGATAATGTTAACATTACTGAACAAGAAGGAATACAATAGATTGAGCCGAGATTACCCTCGAGACGGGTATCTTAGTCCAAAAATTAAGCCAACACCACTATACAAACTATATACTTCTGTAGGGACTGTATACAAAAGATTGAGAAATCCAAAAAATAGGGCTTATAGGCACGCCCTTTTACCAGAAGATTAGGGTCCTAGAGAGCCTCGATGGTCCAGTGCAAAAAAGGAGGTGGACCATTTATTGTCTTCCATATGTGATCGTCACCGAGCACCATCTTTAGCTAGGAGGTCGGCGAACTCGTTCGACGTCCGCCATTTATGCCTCCATTAGACGTTGGTATCCTTGCATAGGTGGTAAATCTCATAAAAAATCGTAGAGAGGTACCAAGGAGGATTAGGTATACTTGCTGACCAAAATAGAGTGTTTTTTGCGTCTCCTTCCACCACTAAGGATTGACCCCGAGCCGGGTCAAAAAATTTTAGGCCCGGGAGAAGAGCCAATGCTTCAGCGAGTTGTGAATCTCCAAAGCCGACATATTCAAAATATGTCAAGAGAACATTGTAGTTGTGATCTCTGAAGACCCCCTCTACTCCTGAATGGCTCGGATTCCCCAATGAACAGCCATCAAAATTTAACTTTATGGCACTTTCTGGAGGGGGCAACCAGTTGTGGGGTCTCTGTCACTTGAAAGGCTGGAGTCGAATAATATTGTCCCATTGCCTGAGGAAAGAACTCGTAGGGATCCCAGGAAAGGTACTATGAGTGGAGGCTGAAAAGGGTATAGAAGATGTAACTTTGTGAAACATCCCTGAAACTTCATTTTTATGTCCTTGAACGATCCTCTCATTTCTTTCAATCCATAAAACCCAAACCGTAGCAGCAATAGCTGCCCTCCACTAGGTTAGTCCAGCCTTGGGCCAAGGACCAACTGAGTACTAAAGAACTAGAGCTTTGACCGAAGGTGGGAGAACCCAATTAAAGTTGAAAACTTTAGGATCAGAGTCCAAAGCTCAAAAGCCATGCTGAAATGAAGAAAGAGGTGGGGATTAGACTCCTTCTCTTGTAAGCAAATCACACATCTGTTTGGGAGTGGCAAGCCTCTTTTTTGAAGCTGATCGAGTGTGAGAGCCTGTTGACAGCCAGCTATCCAGTTAAAGGACTGAACTTTTGGAGGAGCTATCGTGTTCCAAACTTTGTGAAGAGGGGAGGTGGGGTTAAGAGGGAAGGTAGGTGGCTGATAAGTTTCCTATAGAAAGAAGCTACCAAAAACTTACCCGATGGGGCTGGAGTCCAAACCAAATAATCATTCCCTGATGAAGGTAAGAAAACATGGTGGAGAGTAGCCGAAAGAGTGGTGAAGGCTAAAGTTTCCTTATCAAAGAGATTTCTACGAAAGTTGGGGCTCCAAGTTCTTCGCCCCCCTTGCGCAGACCATTTCATCCTCAATTGTGGACTCTTTGTTGGAGGCAATTTGATAAAGGTTAGGAAACAGGTCCCTAAGGGGAGCATGTCCTATCCACGAATCCAACTAGAAGCGAACTCTGTTGCCTTGTTTTGGATGGAATCGAAACACTTTCAAACTGAGCGAAGGAGGATGCTAAGGATCTCCATGCTCCAGAATCCCCGCTTTGTGCAATCCTTTCGGGCACCCACATGTGATCCGGAATGTTACATTTATTCCGAATGACCTGTGCCCAGAAAGAGTTGGTTGAGTGGCCAATCTCCACCACCACTTCCCCAACAAGGCCAAGTTATGCTTTCTTAGGTCTTTGATACCTAAACCACCTTGGAGTTTGGGTAGACGGACCCTATCCCAAGATATTAGGTGATGTCGCTTTTTTTCCGCTTGGCCAGACCATAGAAAGTTCCTCATGATCCAACCTTTTAGCCATCGAAGCTGGCATATGGAAAATGGACATTAGGTAAATGGGGGAGTTAGCCAAAGTAGCCTTAACCAAAGTAGACTGACTTGCCAGGGATAGGAACCTTCCTTTCCAACCAGCAAGACTCCTGTCAACTCGATCAATAACTTGGGTCCAATGTCTCTTTTTTGGTTTCCCCAGGCCTAGAGGTATACCCAAATAGGTGGTGGGGAGATCCTCAACTATACAATCTCAAGATGGGATCAGGGGTCTGATTTCTTGGAGTGTAATACCCACCCCCATCATCTTAGATTTTTCCAAATTTACTTTGAAGTCAGTGGCATTTTCAAAGCATTGAGGAAAAGTCTAAGGTTCTCAATTTGCAGATGATCCACATCCAGGAAGACTAAGGTATCATCTACATATTGCAGATGTGATACCATAGGTCCTTGAGAGTTACAATGGAACGCCGAGTGCAGTCCTTCCTGGTAGAGACGAGAGATAGACCTGCTGAAGATTTCAGCTACTATTGTAAACAGAAAGGGAGATAACGGGTCCCCTTGATGGAGCCCTCTCGAAGCAGCAAAAAAAGTCCTTTAGGACTTCCATTAATAAGGACCGAAAAATGGGGAGTGGAGATACAACCTTTAATCCATTTCCTCCATCGATGTCCAAAATTCATTCTAGCCATCGTCTCATCCAATAATGACCAGTTGACATGATCATATGTTTTCTCCCAGTCTATCTTGAAAATCAATCCTGGTTTCTTGGAGAGGTGCCTAGAGTGAATGCACTCATGGGCAACCAGCACACCGTCTAGGATCGGCCTTTCTTTGATGAAGGCTGATTGAGAGTGTGAGATGGTAAGTTGAGTTAAGCAAACTAATTGGCCAGAAATCCTTAAGCTCTTCTGCACCTTCTTTCTTGAGGTAGCATTGATAGCTTTGTTTGAGATCCCCCCTTTGGTAGAAATCCTCAAAAAAACACTTAAATCAGGCAGGAATGTATCCAGTAAAGATTTAAAGGGGGCCATAGGAAAACCATCCGGCCTCATAGCTTTGTCATAGGCTAATTGATCAATGGCCTTAGAGATTTCCTCAATTGTAAAAGGTCATTCCAACTCTTTGGACCAATGATCAGACAGTAAGGAAGTCCAAGGTGGTCATTCTGGGCCTAAGGGCCACAGGGGCAGTATAGAGCAACCTGAAGTAGTTTATAATGGCAACTTGGATATCAAGAGGCTGAGTTAGAAAACTGTTATACAGTGAAAGAATGTTGTGTTTTGGTCCCCTGCTTTTAACCACTGGACCTGGGATCTTTGGTACCAAAAAAGCTCTTCTTTCTTGAGTGTGGAGAGGTAATCTAGCTTTGCTTGGGTTCTAAACTGAGCTTCAGAATCTAACAGGGGTCTTGCTTCTTCAA